ACTGGAACTCTCATACATTCTTGATGAGAATCCAAAGCGATTCAAATACCTTGGAAAAATATTTGCCCATTTCTTATAAAGTTAAACATGCTCATTTGACCAAGAAATTCTACTATTATTTACCCAAGGAAAGTGAAAATATAGGTTACAAAAAGACTTGTGTAACAATGTTAATCACAGCTCTATTTAAAATAGACAAAAACTGGAAACAGTCCAAATGTTCAACAGGTGAATGAATAAACAAAATGTAGTATAACCATAAAATGGAATGCCACCCAGCAATAAAAACAGTAAAAGAAGTACATACTATTTCAATCCATTAATGTGAAGTTCTAGAAAGTCATAACTAATTTATGTGAAAAGTGTATATCATATGATTCCACTTGTATGAAATTCTGGACAGGTGAAACTAATATATGATAGAAGAAAAAGAAGAAGGAGAAGAAGAAGAAGAGGAAGAAGAAGAAGAAGAAGAAGAAGAAGGAGAAGGAGAAGGAGAAGGAGAAGAAGAAGGAGGGGGAAGAGGAGGAAGAGGAGGAAGAGAAGGAGAAGAAAAGTGGTGCCTCTTTGAGGGGCAGGTGACTGGGAAAGATCACTACAGGGACTTACGGGATGAGGAAAATCTTGATAGAGTGTAGTTCCTCTTCCAGGGGGTTGGAAATGTTCTATATCTTGATAGGAGTATACTCACTTTTTAAATTGTACATTTAAGATTTGTATATTTCAACATAAGTACATTTTTCCTTAAAAATGTTTACAATTGTTATTATAATTGAAGGGGAGTAGGGAGAGTTAGAGATGAAACAAAATGCCAGGATGCTGAGAGTTGCTGTGTGATGTATATATGAAGGTTCATTATATTATGGTGATTATTTTGTATATGTTTGAGAGTTTTCATAATAAAAAGTTTAAAATAAATAAATAAACATAACAAACTCACTGCCAACAACTGTCAACTCATGGCCAAACTAGTTTTCTTTTCAACCCCTTCAACTTCCTTTCTTTCCAGTATGATTTTGCAGCTCCTTATTGAGCCCCTGCTCTGTTGCCAGGCCCTGGGCTGGGGTCCACGTAAAGAGCAACAAAAAGGACAGACCAAGTCCTGCTGCCAAGGCATTCAGGAGGATAACAGGAGGAGAACAGGTAAACCATGAACAAATAAGGCAATTTCAGATAGTGAGGTTACTATGACAACAATAAAAACTTGTTATGGCAGAGAGTGACTTGGTGGGTGGGCCAGGAGCAGTTCTTTATTGGGTGGTCAAGGAACGCCTCTCTGAGAGAGTGATATTTGAGCCAAGATGAATGAGGAGGAAAAGTAGCCACGGAAAGGATCCTCATTCAAAGCCAAGGCCCTGGGGTGGGTCTGAGCAGGATATGTTGAGTGACAGAGAGAAGGCTGGCAAGACAGGAGCAGTATGAGTATAGGTAGGTGAGACAAGGTGAGGTCTGCGGTGGGGCAGTGACCAGCCACATGGGGCCCTGGAGAGCAGGGCAAGGAGCTTGTGTTCCAAGTGCAACGAGGAGCTTGCAGAGGACACTCCATGTCCCCCCAAATGATTTACATTTTAAGAATGTCACTTTGTCTGCCCTGTGAAGAATGGACTGGGAGAAAGGAAGCAGGAAAAGAATGTAGGAGCCAAGGTAGGGATGCAGGCAAAAGAAGAGAGGATGGCCAAGGTGTGAGGAGAAGTGGGCAGAGTCGTGATCTGCCTCTGATTGGGAGCCCGCAGAGCTTGTGGGTGGAGTGGCTACAAGGGGTGGGAAGCAGCAGCAGCAATGGCTCTTTGGTGGGGGAAGCCAAGGGTGCTATCTGGGCCCCACGGTGTCTGAGAAAATAAGTTGTGATGCAAGTAGTGGTGCTGACGAGGCATCTGGTTATAGGAGTGCGGTGTTCAGAGCAGATAGAAGGAAACAGCTGAAGGAAAATGCTGGGGACCAGGGGAGTATGTACACATGCGTATACAGTGCGTTTCTCCTCTTCTGCTTTACCGGCTAGTGAAACAAAAAATATCTAGAAGCAGATGCAACTTTATTTTAAAAAAACTTATATAGATAAGCTGACATTTCACCTATGCCACGGGGTTGTGAGGATGACGTGAATTAATACAAGACACTTTAAAAAGTGCCTGGCACATATGCAGTGTTCAGTGCATATTTTTTTAAACTTCAATTCCAGTAGAAAAAGACTAGTTTAGCTAGTAAGGGATCTTTGCATAACTTGCTGTCCATCTGGAAAAAATTCCAGTTATATGTTCTACCTCATACTTAAGTGAAAATACAGTTCATACGGTTTAAAGATGTACATGGAAGAGAGACTTCCCTGGTGGCGCAGTGGTTGAGAATCCATCTGCCAATGCAGGGTACATGGGTTCAAGCCCTGGTCCAGGAGGATACCACATGTCATGGAGCAACTAAGCCCCACGACTACTGAGCCTGCGCTCTAGAGGCCATGAGCCACAACTACTGAGCCCACGTGCCACAACTACTGAGGTCCGTGCACCTAGAACCCGTGCTCGGCAACAAGAGAAGCCACCACACTGAGAAGACCGTGCACTGCAACGAAGAGTAGCCCCTGCTCGCCGCAACTAGAGAAAGCCCACACGCAGTAACGAAGACCCAGTGCAGCCAAAAATAAATAAATAAAATAAATAAATTTATTTTTAAAAAAGATGTATATGGAAGAAACCAAACTAGAAAAGTATGAGAAAAACATTTGGATGAATAGTCAGTTGTCTAGCTTCAGCATAAACGAGGCCCTTTAACACTATACAGAAAACCCATACCCAATCGTGCAGATTTTGACCACATACAAAATCTTGTGTGGCAAAAATGCTATAAACCTTGCCAAGGATAAGAGTTAAGTGAGGAAACATTGCGTCATAAATGACAAGCAGAGGATGAATTTAACCAAAATACAAAGATTCCTAGAAACTGATAAACAACCCAGTGACGATTTCTTTTCACAAAAGAAAATGCAAACCATCAAGAAATAAATGAATAGAGGCTTTATCTCACTGGTATTTAAGTGAACTAATGACCTTCGCCTTTTCACTCATCCAGTTTGACCCAGTTCTCTCACATATTGATGCTGGGAGTGTGAATTGCTACAACCTTTTTTGAATGATCTAGCAAATTAAAATATGGGTATCATTCCACTCAGTGATTTCTCTTTTAGGAATTCAGACAAAAGAAATAAAAAGCATTAGCATATACAAGATATTTGCTGGTATACTAGTTGAACTAGCAAAGAACTGAAAAAAAATTGAATGTTCATCAATAGGAAAATAAATTATGGTTCATTACATTTTGTAATATTGTCAGCTATTAAAAAGTACATGTGAGAACTGTGTATACTGGAGAGATGTTTGTGGCCTGTTGTTAAGGAAAAAGGCAAGTTATATCGTAAAGGACTAACATTCTATTTTTGGTTTTTGGTTTTTGTGTATGTCTTGTTGTTGTTGTTTGTGTGGTGATGGCGATTGGGGATATTTATACATTCATACAAGTGCTTACATGTGTAAGGTCATAGAAGGAGAAGAGACCCAACTGCTAATGTTGATCACCTCACAGAAGCAGGATGGAAAGGTGGGAAGAGCAGACGTAATAACTTTTCTTCTGAAAAATTAAAATATGTCTATATAGGGGTAAATATATAGTTTCTCTTTACAAACTTTTGCATCATTTGACTCCTTCCTGAACTTAAAAATGAAGGATAAATAAGGGTTTAGTATCCAGAATATATTTTTTTTCCTTTTTTTTTTCAGAATATATTTTTTAAAAACTCTAACAACTCAACAACAAAAGGCAAATAATCCAATTTAAACATGGGCAAAGAAGTGGAACAGACATTTCTTCAAAGATATACAAATTGCCAACAACACATGAAAAGATGCTTAACATCATTAGCCATTAGACAAATGCAAATCAAAACCACAAAGAGATGCTACTTCACACTACTAGGATGGTTAGAATTAAAAAACCAGAAAATGAGTATTGGTGAGGATGTGGAGAAACTGGAATCCTTGTTAAAAATGGAATTACAGTATAACCCAGCAATTTCACTGCTAGGTATAAATCCAAAAGAATAGAAAACAGATACAGTAGCAAATACATGTTCAAGTTCATAGCAGCATTATTCACAATAGCCAAAAGGTAGAAACAACTCACATGTCTATCAATGGATGAATGGATAAACAATACATGGTACATACATACAACATAATATTACTCGGCCATAAAAAGATATGAAGTTCTGATATAGGCTGCAAAGTGGATGAACCTCAAAAACATTATACTAAATGGAAGAAGCCTCACACAAGAGATTCCACGTATGATTCCATTTATATGATATGTCCAGAATAGGTAAATCCATAGAGACAAAAAGCAGACTAGTGGTTGCCAGGGGCTGGGAGGGAGGGAAGAATGGGGAGTAACTGCTAATGGGGTACCGGTAGGCTGATAGAAATGTTTCCAAACTAGTAACAGTGGTGTTTGCACAACACTGCCATTGTACTAAACATCGCTGAGCTGTTCACCTAAAATTGGTTAACGTTATGTCATGTGAATTTCAGTTGACGGAAGTTAGGAAGGAAGCTCGAGGCCTCGCTTCTCCCAGCTGCCCCCTGCGGACCGCGCTTCCGCCCGCCGCGGCCCAAGTCAGTACCCCAGCCCACAAATTTAGAGGGCGACGGGGGCTGATGAAATGACAACAGGGGTACGGTAAAGGAGGCTACCAGACAAAGACGGAGAGGCGGGCGGCACCCTCGGCTCCTGACGCTGCCACCCCTGCCCAGTCAAGCTGCTCCGCCCAGACTATCGTCTGAGGTGATCGCCACCTCGCCCGCGGGAACGGGGTGGGACCCGGGGGGCGGGGCCAACGGCGGGGGGAGGGTCGCCTGCGCGCCGGACCGGACGTGAAGGCACCGGAACCCTTCAGCCTAGGGCACCTGTTTCCGGAGGGAGCTCTTATCCCGACGTCAAAGTCCGCCACGTTGGGAATCCGGTTTCCGGAGTCTCTTTTTGTGACCGGGTCTCAGCGGTGCAGAGGTGGCGGTGGCTATGAGGCAGAAGCACTACCTTGAGGCTGCGGCGCGGAAACTACAGGATAGCTGCCCGGGCCAGGCCCGCTATCTCCTGTAAGAGAGGGAGGGAGGGAAGGGGAGAGGGAGGGAGGGAGGGGGAGGGGGGGGGGGGGAGGGGGGGGGGGGGGGAGGGGGGGGCGAGCCGCTAGAGGGCGTTTCCTTGTCCCTTATGAGTCTCTTTCTCTTTTGCAGCTGGGCCTACAGTTCGTCACACGGTAGGGAGGACGCCCGTTGGTTGTGGGTCAGGCTGTCGTCGCCCCGCTCGCCTTCATTCCCCACAACACTCAGGATGATCCAAAAGAATCGGATCGACCCACTGCCATAATAAACCCCCTCGAGAGGCTTCTCAGTTTCGTAAAAAATCCAAATTCCTTAACGTGCCTTATCTTGCCAGACCTATTAGCGGCATTTGACGCATTGATCTGGCTACTCGAAATAGTTTTCTCACTTGGCTTCCGGACCATCACAAAGTTCACCTCCTACCTCTTTATCCAGTACTTCTGTTTTGCTGGTTTCTTCTAATTTCCCCAACTTACAAATGTTGGAGTGTCCCAGGACTCATCCCTTGGACGTTTTTTCTAGCTACACTCAATTCCTTGGTGACAGTTTTTCATCCACTCTCATGGCCTTTAAATTCTGCATACTGAGGACTTACAAATTTATATCCCCAGTCCAGACCACTCCCGCGAATCCTAGGCTCATCCAGATACGTTGACAACTTTTTTTGAATATTATGCTAGGCGAAAATTCAAGCTTTATCCCCCAACACGACAACCCGCCTCCTCCAGTTATTCCCATTTCAGTAAATGGTAACCCCATCCTTAAGAATTAGCCCCCAAACCTAGGAGCCACTCTTGACTCACTAACAGCCACCTTCCTCCCCAAGCCAGTACGCCAGAAATCCCACTGGCTTTAGAATATATCCAATATCTAGCCACTTCTCTCCACATCCAACTTACCACCGTGGTCCAAGCCATCAGTTTCTCTCCTGGATTATTGGCAATAGCTCCCATGCATTTCTACAGTCCATTCTCAATCCAGCAGCCAACGTGAGCCTAATAGAAACCTAAGCTAGATCATGTCACTTCTCTGCTACCAACTCTGAAATAACTGCCCATCTCAGAGTAAAAGTGAAAATCTTTTAAAGGGACTTCATGGCCCTATGTCATAGGTCTGCATTACCTCTCCGACCTGCTCTCCCTTTTGTTCACTGAACTCCAACCACTGCCAGGCCCCTGTGCTGTTTCACGGCCTTCGCACCTGCCCTTCCTTCTACCTGGAAATCTTACCTCACATATCTCCTTGGATTCTTCCTTCACTTCCTTCTGGTCTCTTGCAAATGTCACCCCACAAAGCCTTCACTGGCTGCCCTATTTAAGATTATAGCAGCTCCATCGCTACGCCCCATTCCCCTTTTCCTGTATTTCTTTTTTCTCCCCAGCACTTAACATTTGGCATTGTTGTATTCATCGTCTCTCTGCATGAATTGTCCTTTGTTCTCTGTGGTATTTCCCACACCCAGAACAGTGCTTGGCACTTAACTGTCACTCAGTAAATATGAATGAATTTTACATTTGGCAGAGCTAAGTTACGAACATGGTCTTTGGCTTTTTGTAGTGCTGTCTATCCCTAGCACTTAACACAGGGCTCACCAATAAATATTTATTGAATAACAGATAGTGTGCCCACCTCCCTTTTTAGCAGCATCACCTTCACACCTTACCTTTCCCTAAATAACCATGCTTGCTTTTTCACTGTACTTGTACCTGAAAGCCCGTTACCAATGATAGATGCCATTTCCAAATACAGATAAGAGTTTACAGTCACCTGTGATGACTTTTTTCAAGCCTGTTGGAAGTGTTTCTGGCTAGTCTATGCAGAGTTTAATAATTTTCAGGGCATTTAAATCATATTCTGTTGCAGTTTTTACCAATCTTATCTTTGTTTAGGGCTCCCCAAGAGCGTGAGTTCTATAAAGGTAGCAACTCCTTTACTTCCATATTTATGTCTCCACAGTCTAGCATGGTAGATGATCAGTGAATGCTTTCTTGATTGCATAAAGGTCCTGGGGCAAGTCTGTTGTCCTGTTACCTTGTACTGCAGACAAACCCAGCTCACAACCACAAAATTGTGCTAATTGTTTTAAAAAGAAAAGTCACAATATAATTTGTTATTTTGTGATAAATGTGTTTGTAAAATTGATGAGAAATACAGCCTTTTTTACTTGGTAGCAAGTAATGAACAATGTAGCAAAGGGTGGGGACTTACCTATCTGTTGCTAAAAGGAATGAATGGATAGAATTATAGTGTTTTATAAAATAAATTATTGCTGATTTATGTTTTTGTAAATTCTCATATTTTGAGTGTGCTTAAGGAAAATGTATATTTGCTTGTATTAAATAATATACTCTTGCATTTATAATATTGATAGTTTACAGTAACAAAATATTCTGTTTGCTGACTCGTGAGTTTCATTTGTTTAATTTTAGATGATAAAAGCACTTTTGAAGGAACATGTCCATACTGTTTCCAGTTGCTGGTTCAGGATAAGTCTCGAGTACGTCTCAAACCCAAACCCAAATTGACACCCAAAATACAGAAACTTCTTAATCGAGAAGCAAGAAATTATACACTCAGTTTTAAAGAAGCAAAAATTTTGAAAAAGTACAAAGACTCCACAAGTGTATTGGTAAGATTTCAATTCCAGCATGTATAAGTAAACCAGAATTTTCTTTTCTTTCACTTAAGATGAGGTTAAGAATTAGCCTGAATATAACTCAGAGGTTTGTAGTCGTATATTTAGATTGTCAAAATATATACATAGGATTTCTTTCTAGTGATTACTGTTTCATCAAGAGTACAGCTTATTTTTGTTTTTCACAATTACCTAAAACCAAACATCGTGAACTCTCAATTGCCCAGATCTTATTGCTGAGCACAATTATTTTCACAAAGTTGAGAATTTCTTGAGCTCACCAGTGTGACTTCACCTGAACTGCAGTTACCACTAAATTATTTTTTCAGCTAATGGTTCCTTTCTTTGAACAGTAGTATGTATTAGATATACATAAGCCTCTTGCCTTATGTATTAGGTACCAGTGTTACTTCTTCAGTCACCTCCGCTCCATGTCAGAGTATGTATTTAAGTTTATGCCCAACAAAGGTAAGTGCATCTTATGTTCATTCATCAAACATTTATTGAGGATCTATCTTATGCCAGACAGTGCTGTGTATTGGGGATGTTAAGTGCAATAAAACAACCAAAAGCAAATTACTCGGTTTACTGTATAGAGACCAGTATCAGATACACTTTATCTGCATGTTTTGTGTTAACATTTATCAACTATTCGAGTGCTTGCTTACTACCAGGCACTGTGCTGGGCATTCTGGACATTATGACAGATTATGTCTGGCCCAAGACTACAGTCGGTAATAACTTAGATTGGAACTGTCATATTTAGGAGTTTACCATAATTGGACAGGTAGATGAATTTTGCTTTGTCATAAAATTGATTGTTTATAGAAAGCATAAAGTAACCTAAATAGACCTCTGTAAATGCATTTTTACCTGCTCATGAACATCAGAGTACTTCTCAGCTAAACTAGTTTCTCTTAATTTTGTTGAGGCCTGGGCTGAATCCTGTGCCTTGTGAGTCAGATATGTAGAAGAAAGGCATTTAGCTATAAAATGAACCATGTGTTGAAAAATGAATCCTGAAAAGAAAGTCAACCTCTATCGCTAATGAAGTGAAGAAGTATGAGAATGTGAGGATTCATTTGATTGGTTTTATAAATTGCTTTAGACCTGTATTTACAGAATAAAGGTTTGAAAGAGTCAATTAAATTTTCAGTGATATTTTGCCATTGTTGTATTGGGAAAAGGCTTGGAGTTTGTCTGCAAAAAAATGCTAAATGTCTACTATTGTTATAAAGAACAACTTTCCAGATGTTAAAGGGTATCATTCCCAGTCTCCTCCATTCCCCGGCAAACACGGTTTTACATTGAGAAAGTAAAGACTTTATCATCTTTAAAAAGGTGTTTTAAATTATATACAAATGTTTAGCCATTAACTTTTTATTGAAGATTTTCTTTTAAATTTGTGTCTTGTCTGATTCCTGCTGCTAGTTTACAAGCTTGCTGAGGGCAGCCTTTGTTACTCACCCTGTAGTACCTGGTTTAGTCCCTTATATATATGAATTTAATGAGCATGCAGTTTATTGGATTAAATTATAAGAGAAATCAGACCCACTATTTCTTCTTTTTATGGCAGTTGATTACTTGTAAAACATGCAACAGAACAGTTAAACATCATGGTAAAAGTAGAAGCTTTCTATCAACATTGAAGAGCAATCCTACCACTCCTGCGAGTAAACTCAGCCTAAAGACCCCAGAGAGAAAGACTCTAAGTTCTGCAAAACTAAATCATGATATGTCTGGTTCCAAAGCCAAGAGCCCAGCATTGATTTTCAGGTATCTTAATCCATTAAGTTATTTAAATTACCAGTGTTCACCCATGAGTTCTAATTTCTCTGTTAATACACTCCCTGAAATTGCCATGCAGTTGAAGTCATCACTGCACTGACTTCCAGGTGTGTTCCTCTGCTTCCAGTCTCTCCCTGGTCTTGTTCCCAGCTGCCTATTAAATATATCCACTTCCCACCCCTACATGTCCCCACAGGTAACTACTCAAACCTGCCCATCCTCCTAAGTTCTTTATTCTGTAAATGAACATGCCCTTCTAGACATTCTGACCTGAAATGGTGAGTATAGTTGACAATCCTACTTGCTCAGTCTTGGTCCAGTGAGTCGCCAGTTTCTATCCATCCTGCTTCCAAGGTGTCTGCAGCTATTCTTTCCTTTTTCTCCCTGCTGCTGCTATCTGTTCAGGTCATTATTCACTCTTTGCCAGGACTACTACAATAATTCCCTGAGTCTTCCTGCTCCTAGTTTCAAGCGCTTCTAGTCTGATATTTTTTATTTTTATTTTTTATAAATGTATTTATTTGTTCACTTATCTTTCACTGCGTTGGGTCTTCGTTGCTGCATGCAGGCTTTCTCTAGTTGTGGCGAGCAGGGGCTGCTCTTCGTTGTGGTGCGTGGGCTTATATCCTTGCAGTGGCTTCTCTTGTTGTGGAGCATGAGCTCTAGGCTCACGGGGTTGCTTCTCTTGTTGCAGAGCATGGGTGCTGGGCATGAGGCCTTCAGTATGTGGCACATGGGCTCAGTAGTTGTGGCTCATGGGCTGTAGAGTGCAGGCTCAGTAGTTGTGGCATGTGGGCTCAATAGTTGCGGCACGTGGGCTCTAGAGCGCAGGCTCCGTAGTTGTGGCGCACGGGCTTAGTTGCTCCACGGCATGTGGGATCTTCCCGGACCGGGGCACGAACCCGTGTCCCCTGCCTCGGCAGGCGGACTCTCAACCATTGCGCCACCAGGGAAGCCCCGACAGGCGGATTCTTAACCACCGTGCCACCAGGAAGTCCAAAAGCACAGTTCTGATTAGAAGCTTTAGCACCTCACTCTGTAGCATATGGAACAAATACTCCATTATGGATTTCCAGTCCCCACTACCTGTCACCAATCTGTCTGCCTCTCTTACTTGCCTTAATTCATCTTATGTGTCAGCAAAACTGAACCACTCAGTTTACTTTCCTGCTCTAAACCTTTGTTCTTGCTGTTTCCTGTATCAGAAATTCCTGTGGAAATCTAACTGAATAGGGATTTGTGAAATGATACTAAGTTAACTGTGTGACTAGGCACATGTTTTATTTTTAATAATCCTCAATACACTCTTCACTATGCTAATCAATAAATTTAGCTCCATAGAAACTGTGAAAGGAATTTTTAAACAAACATTTTGTTACAAAAGAGTCTGGTAGTTTCTTGAAAATCAATAAAATTCAGCAAGGACTGGATTATTTGTTTTTACTGAATTGAGGTTTTTTATATTGGGTTTGACATTTAAAATTTCAAGTCCAGTTTTCTCTATATTCCTAGTTATTTTGATGTTTGATACAATAGGAATTCATCATGGAAGTTTCTACTTTATTGGACATGTGCAGATAAAAGAACATTTGGCATAGTTAAAATAATTCAATTGCATTTAGACCAGACTCCTTCTTAGATATATGCAGGAAAGAGAAAGCTAGTTCACATTTATCATGGATGGGGAGTCAGAAGAGGGATGAGACTGACAAACCCCAAATATTGTTTGGGGGGATGAACACAATTAGAAGGAAGGAAATAGAACGAGGCATAAATACACACATACCAGATGGGGAATCTTCTATTCAGTGGATATTTTTAGAGGGTGTCCTCTGTGCTTGGCACTGTTAAAAAGCAGTGGAATATACAGTTAGTCGTACAAAGTGTCTGCCCCATGGAGCTTATATTGTAGGGGCGAAAATACAATGGAATGGTACCTATATGTGTAGGTTGATATTCTTCACTTTTGAGAAAGAAGTGGTCTTGAGCTGTGAAGAAAAAATATGTTTTTAAAGTCCTTGCTTAGAACTGTCATGAATCTTGGTGTCAGACTTACAAGGAACTCAGACCTGATGACACTTTGCCTTTAGTTTTCTCTTTCAGGTGGTGAAAGAAGCTTCCAGAACCACCCATTATACCTCCTAAATGTTGCCTGTAGCCTGTTTAGTGAGGAGATTTTTAAATAAAATTGGAATGACTTTGCTGGGTACAGCCACTGCTCATATATGGCCATAATTATGGAACAGTAGAAAACGATTCTAGTAGCAGGTATCTAGGCTAAGAAGGAAGAACTGTTGTTTGTCAGTATACCTAAGTGTGGCTTTATGTTTCTTTTCAGAACAGCTAAATCTGGACAGTCAACACCCATTTGCTCCTCAAAGAATGTGAGCAAAACAAAGAAACACTTCTCTCAACTAAAAATGTTGCTTAGTCAGAGTGAATCTGAAAAGAATCCAAAGGTGGACTTCAGAAATTTCTTGTCTTCTTTGTAAAGGATGGACTATGAAAATAAGAAATGTTTAATGTAATTTCTGAAACTAAAGTTAGTCAGAAAACCTACTTTTTAAAGAACTTATTTATTCTTAAAATACATGGAAACTAGGGTTCAAGAGCAAACTTTTCTTGGCATTCTTCAGTGTTTATGGAGAAAATACCTCATTAGAATGAAAAACTGAAACCTGCCTACCTCACCAGGTGATTGTGAGGATCAAAAATATATGAAAGGTCCTTGTAAGTAGTAAAGATATATATGGAATTGAGTGGTTATATTATTATTTTCTCCTCTTTTAAGTTTTCATTATGTCATTTTCTTTCATAAGGAAATTGAGATCTTTATGAGAGGTGTGCTTACTCCTTTCTAGGTGTCTGTAACCTTATTGATAATTCAGAAAAACAATAAAGTATATTTCACCATAAGTGGCATTTCATTTGCTCTGGTGAAGACTTATTTTTAGGTCTAAAATTTATATCAGAACATAACATGGGGAGGCAGAGTCAAGATGGTGGAGTAGGAGGACGCAGAGTCCGTGTCTTCTCACAACTAGGGCACCTACCAGATGCTGGTGGGGGACCTCGACACCCAAGGGTATGGCAGGAACCCCCAAAAGATAAGGCAGAACATGGGCGGGGGAGCGAGGGGGGAGGAGAAGTAGAGGTGGAATGGGACTGGCACCCCTGAGGGGTGGCAGTAGGGGAAGGGTTCCCATGCCTCGAGAGGCCCACTCGCTGTGAGGGGATCAACAGGGATGTGGAGAGACCCTCGGGGATTCAGAGGATCAGAGGGGAGCACAGCTAGCATTTCCCCTGCCCACTTGGGCCCCAGGGAGCCTGCTGGGGTCACGGGCCTTGTCCTCCACCCTCCAGGGCCCCCTCTGGCTGTGTGGGGGCATTGGAGGATGGGGGAGGAAGAGTAGAAGTGAATGGGGACGGACCCTTGGGGGTATGAGGATTGGGGGGGAACGTAGCTATCATTTCCCGCACCCACTTGGGCCCTGGCGAGCCTGCTGAGGTCCTGGCCCCGATACTCTGCACTCTGAGGCTGGCAGCACTCCAGGGCCCATCCAGCTGCGCTGAGCCTAAGCCCCACCCCCCACTTGGGCCTTTTCTGGCCCCGTGGGTCCTGAGCATAGGCCCTAGCCCCCTGCCTAAACCCCACCCTTGCCTAAGCCCCACGCCCTGCCTAAGCCAAGGCCTTTTCTGGCTTTTTTTTTTTTTTTTTTGGCTATTGTGGTTCAGTTTTCCAGTTGTTTCATTTATACTTTTATTGTTTCTAATATATCTATTAGTTTTCTAATTTTATTTTATTTCTTATTCTTTGTTATTGTTATGTGCCATGTTGGGGTTTTTTTTTTTTTTTTTGCTGCATGGCTTGCGGGATCTTGGTTCACGGGCCAGGGGTCAGGCCTGAGCTCCTGTGGTGGGAGCACTGAGTCCGAACCTCTGGACTAACAGACAACCTCAAACCCCAGGGAATATTCCTTGGAGTCAGGTCTCCCAGAGTTCCTCATCTTGCACCAAGACCCAGCTTTACCCAACTGCCTGCAAACTCCAGTGCTGGAAGCCTCATTCCAAACAACCAGTAAGACAGGAACACAGTCTCACCCATCAAAAAAAATGAGATGACAAAAAAATATACTACAGATGAAGGAGCAAGGTTAAAAACCTACAAGACCAAATAAATGAAGAGGAAATAGGCAAACTACCTGAAAAATAATTCAGAGTAATGATAGGAAAGACGATCCAAAATCTCGGAAATAGAATGGAGGCACAGACTGAGAAAATACAAGAAATGTTTAACAAAGACCTAGAAGAACTAAAGAACAAACAAATAAAGATGAACAACACAATAACTGAAATGAAAAACACACTAGAAGGAATCAACAGGATTATAACAGGCAGAAGAACAAATAAGTGAGCTGGAAGATAGAATGGTGGAAATAACTGCCAAGGAGCAGAGTAAAGAAAAAAGAATGAAAAGAATGGAAAACAGTCTCAGAGACCTCTGGGACAACACTAAACTCACCAACATTCAAATAACAGGGGTCCCAGAAGAAGAAGAGAAATAGAAAGGATCTGAGAAAATATTCAAAGAGATTATAGTTGAAAACTTCCCTAAATTGGGAAAGGAAATAGCCACCCAAGTCCAGGAAGCACAGAGAGTCTCATACAGGATAAACCCTAGGAGAAACACACCAAGACACATTTTAATCAAACTAACAAATTAAATTCAAAGAAGAAAATATTAAAAGCAGCAAGGGAAAAGCAAAAAATAACATATAAGGGAATCCCCATAAGGTTATCAGCTGATTTTTCAGCAGAAACTCTGCAAGCCAAGAGGGAGGGGCAGGACATATTTAAAGTGATGAAAGGGAAAAACCTACAACCAAGATTAGTCTTCCCAGCAAGGATCTCATTCAGATTTGATAGAGAAATCAAAAGCTTTACAGATAGGCAAAAGCTAAGAGAATTCAGCACCACCAAACCAGCTTTACAACAAATGCTAAAGGAACTTCTCTAGGCAGGAAATACAAGAGAAAAAAAAGACCCACAAAAACAAACCCAAGACAATTACAAAAATGGTAATAGGAACATACATATTTATAATTACCTCAAATGTAAATGACTTAAATGCTCCAACCAAAAGACACAGACTGGCTGAATGCATACAAAAATAAGACCTATATATATGCTGTGTACAAGAGACCCACTTCAGACCTAGGGACACATACAGACTGAAAGTCAGGGGATGGAAAAAGATATTCTATGCAAACGGGAATCACAAGAAAGCTGGAGTAGCAATACTCATATCAGATAAAATAGATTTTAAAATAAAGCCTGTTACAAGAGATAAGGACACTACCTAATGATCAAGGGATCAATCCAAAAGAAGATATAACAATTATAAATATTTATGCACCCAAAATAGGAGCACCTCAATACATAAGGAAAGTGCTAACAGCTATAAAAGGGGAAATCGACAGTAACACAATAATAGTGGGGGACCTTAACATCCCACTTACACCAATAGACAGATCATCCAGACAGAAAATCAGTAAGGAAACACAAGCTTGAAATGGCACAATAGACCAGATAGATTTAATCGATATTTATAAGACAGTCCACCCAAAAGTGGCAGAATACACTTTCTCCTCAAGTGCACACAGCACATTCTCCAGGATAGATCACATCTTGGGTCACAAATCAATCCTCGGAAAATTTAAGAAAATTGAAATCGTATCAAGTATCTTTTCTGACCACAATGCTATGAGATTAGAAATCAATTACAGGAAAAAAAACTGTAAAAAACCCCACAAACACATGGAGGCTAGACAGTGTGCTGCTAAATAACCAAGAGATCACTGAAGAAATCAAAGAGGAAATAAAAAGATACCTAGAAACAAATGACAGTGAAAACACGACAACCCAAAACCTGTGGCATGCAGCAAAAGCAGTTCTAAGAGGGAAGTTTATAGCAATTCAGTCTCACCTCAAGAAACAAGAAAAATCTCAAAACAATCTAATCTTACACCTAAAGCACCTAGAAAAAGAACAAAAACAAAAAACCCCAAAGTCAGTAGAAGGAAAGAAATCATAAAGATCAGAGCAGAAATAAATGAAATAGAAATGGAGAAAAAAAATAGCAAAGATCAATAAAACTAAAAGCTGGTTCTTTGAGAAGATAAACAAAATTGGTAAACCTTAGGCCAGACTCATCAAGAAAAAACAGGAGAGGACGCAAATCAATAAAATTAGAAATGAGAAAGGAGAAATTACAACTGACAATGCAGAAATAGAAAGGATCATAAGAAACTACTACAAGCAACTACATGGCAATAAAATGGACAACCTGGAAGAAATGGACAAATTCTTAGAAAGGTACAACTTTCCAAGACTGAATCAGGAAGAATTAGAAAATATAAACGGACAAATCACAAGTAATGAAATTGAAACTGTGATTAAAAATCTTCCAACAAACAAAAGTCCAGGACCAGATGGCTTTACAGGAGAATTCTATCAAACATTTAGAGAAGAGCTAACACCTATCCTTCTGAAACTCTTCCCAAAAAATTGCAGAGGGAGGAACATTCCCACTTTCATTTTACAAGGCCACCATCAGCCTGATACCAAAACCATAGAAAGATATCACAGAAAAAGAAAATTACAGACCAATAACACTGATGAACATAGACGCAAAAATAATCAACAAAATACTAGCAAACAGAATCCAACAACACATTAAAAGGATCATACATCATGATCAAGTGGGATTTATCCCAGGGATGCAAGGATTCTTCAATACACACAAATCAATTAATATGATACAGCATATTAACAAATTGAAGAATAAAACCCATATGATCATCTCAATAGATGCAGAAAAAGTTTTTAACAAAATTCAACACCCATTTATGATAAAAACTCTCCAGATAGTCAGCATAGAGGAAACCTACCTCAACATGATAAAGGCCATATATGACAAACCCACAGCAAACATCATTCTCAATGGTGAAAACTGAAAGCATTTCCTCTAAAATCAGGAACAAGACAAGGATGTCAACTCTCACCACTATTATTCAACATAGTTTTGGAAGTCCTAGCCATGGCAATCAGAGAAGAAAAAGGAATAAAAGGAATCCAAATTGGAAAAGAAGTAAAACTCACTGTTTGCAGATGACATGATACTATACATAGAAAATCCTAAAGATGCCACCAGAAAACTACTAGAGCTAATCAATGAGTTTGTTAAAGTTGCAGGATACAAAATTAATGCACAGAAATCCCTTGCATTCCTATACACTAACAATGAAAGATCAGAAAGAGAAATTAAGGAAACAATCCCATTTACCATTGCAACAAAAAGAATAAAATACCTAGAAATAAACCAACCTAAGGAGGCAAAAAACCCCATACTCAGAAAACTATATACTGTATAGCACAGGGAACCCTACTCAGTGCTCTGTGGTGACCTAAATGAGAAGGAAAACCAAAAAGTAGGGGATATGTGTGTATGTTTAGCTGATTCTCTTTGCTGTACATTATAAACTAACACAGTATTGTAAAGCAACTATGCTCCAATTAAAAAAAAGAAAATTATAAAATACCAATGAAAGAAGTCAAAGATGACACAAACAAATGGAAAAATATACCATGTTTTTGGACTGGAGGAATCAATATTTTGAAAATGACTACACTACCCAAAGCAATCTACAGATTCAGTGCAATCCCTATCAAATTACCCATGGCATTCTTCACAGAATTAGAACAAAAAGTTTTACAATTTGTATGGAGACACAAAAGACCCCAAATAGCCAAAGCAATCTTGAGAAAGAAAAATGGAACTCGAGAAATCAGGCTCCCCAACTTCAAACTATTACACAAAGCTACAGTAATCAAGACAGTACGTACTGGCAA